TCTAGGCTTACTCTGTCCCCACTACAGCAGTCCCCACTTACTTGCGATTTGCACTCATCAGTTTCACTTACCCACAGACTGCCACAGTCTGAAAATATTAATGGAAAATTTCCAGAAACAAACAATTCATAGATTTTATGTTGCGCTCTGTTCTGAGTAGCGGGATGAAATCTCGCACCATCCCATTCCACCTTTTGTCCGGTGTGTTCCCACCAACCCCACAGTGTAGACCAAGATGCTACCTACCCCTTGGTCACTTAGTAGGTGTCTTGGTTGTCAAATAGATACACTATCGTGGTATGGCCGTGATTGTGTTCAGGCACCCCTTATTTTACTTACTAATGGCTCCAAAGTGCAAAAGTGGTGACGTTGGCAATTTGGATCTGTCAAAGAAAAGCCAAATACATGCCAAAGAGAAGTCGTTAGTCTCTTATGCCTAATTTATAAATTAAACTTTATCATAGGAACATATGTGTCGGAAAAAACGTAGTATGTATAGCGTTTGTGTATTAGTTTGTTTTCATGCTGCTGATAAAGACATGCCCAAGACTGGGCAATTTACACAAGAAAGAGGTTTAATGGACTTACAGTTTCCTGTGGCTGGGGAGGCCTCACAGTCATGGCTGAAGGTGAAAATCATGTCTCACGTGGCAGCAGACGAGAGAAGAGAGCGTGTACAGAGAAACTCTTCTTTTAAAACCATCAGCTCTCGTGAGGCTTACTCACTGTCACAAGAACAAGTTCTTTCTTCATTTCCTTCTCGCGTGTTTTGTCCCTCTTAGCATACGGATTCTGCGCACGCTTGGGTATATTTATACCCATTTCATTTTTTGAGCTATTTAAAGTAATGTCTTTGTAAAAATAGGCATAACTGATATGTGATAAACAGCACATATTTTTCTTTTTCTTTAAAACCCAAATGTTTTTCCGTAAAACTGCACATATTTAAAGTATATGATTTGATAGCTTTGGCATATGTGTATATATATATGTAAAGCCATTATCAGAATCAAGATAAAGAGCGTATCTACGACCCTCAGATGTTTTTTTATGTCCCTTTGAACTGTCTCCCTCCCAACCTCTCCTTGCCCTGTATCCCAGAAAACTGATTCATTTGCACTTTTAAACAGATTTATGTAGTTTGTTTGTTTGTTTGTTTGTTTTTTAAGACGGGGTTTCACCATGTTGGTCAGGCTGGTCTTGAACTCCCAACCTCAGGTGATCCACCCGCCTTGACCTCCAAAGTGCTTAGATTACAGGCGTGAGCTACTGTATGTGGCCAACATGTAGTTTTTTTTAAATTTCTTTTTTTTTTTTTTTGAGACAAAGTCTTGGTCTGTCACCGGGGCTGGAGTGCAGTGGCACGATCCTGGCTTACAACAACCTCTGCCTCCCAGGTTCAAGTGATTCTCGTGCCTCAGCCTCCCGAGTAGCTGGGATTACAGGCATGGGTCACCATGCTCAGCTAATGCAGCATGTAGTCTTTCACTCAGCATAATATATTGAAATTTGTCAGTATACACACGATAACATGGATACATTTTAATCTTTAATTTTAAATTTTTAAAATTTTTAATCTTTAAATTTTTTTTTGATGAGTAGTTGTGCCATCATATTCATTGACAATCTGTCTCTTACAAGTAAAGTAGCTGTGAACGCTCATGTACAATAAGAAATAGCTTTTATTTTTCTTGGGTAGATACCTAGGACTGAAACTATTAGATCATATTTACCATATGTGTGTGTTTACCTTTTATTTTTTTAAGAGAAAGGGTCTTGCTGTCTCACCCAGCATAGAGTAGAGTGGCATGGTCATAGCTCACTGCAGTCTCAACCTTCTCGGCTCAAGTGTTCCTCCTGCCTCAGCCTCCCAAGTAGCTAGGACTTCAGACATGTGCCACCATACTCAGCTAATTTTTACATTTTTTGTAGAGATGGGGATTTGCTACATTTCCCAGGCCCAGGCTGGTCTCCATCACCTGGCATCAAATGATCATCCCGCCTTGGCCTTCGCACGTGCTAGGATTATAGGCATGAGCCACCAGGCCCAACCATGTTTAATATTTAAAAGAACTGCCAAACTGAGCCCCTGGGCTCAAACAGTCATCTTGCTTTGGCCTCCAAAACTGCGATTACAGGCATGAGCCACCACGCCCAGCCCATTTATGTTTTAGAGACAGGGTCTCGCTCTGTCACCCAGCCTGGAGTGCAGTGGCGTGATCACAACTCACTGCAGCCTTAACCTCCTGGGCTCAAGCAATCTTCCCACCTGGACCTCCTGGGCTCAAGCAATCCTTCTGCCTCAGCCTTCCAAGTAGCTGGGACTACAGGTGTGCACCACCATGCCTGGCTAATTTTATTTTTATTTTTTGATGCGAAAGTCTTGCTTTGTCACCAGGCTGGAGGGCAGTGGTGCATCTTGGGTAGATACCTAGGATTGGAATTATTAGATCATATTTACCATATGTGTGTGTTTACCTTTTATTTTTTTAAGAGAAAGGGTCTTGCTGTCTCACCCAGCATAGAGTAGAGTGGCATGGTCATAGCTCACTGCTTCAGCCTCCCAAGTAGCTAGGACTTCAGAGCTAATTTTTAAATTTTTTGTAGAGTTGGGGATTTGCAACCTCCACCTCCTGGATTGAAGCTATTCCTCTGCCTCAGCCTCCTGAGTAGCTAGAACTACAGGCGCACACCACCATGCCCAGCTAACTTGTTTGTATTTTAGTAGAGACATCCTTGCCATATTGCCCAGGATGGTCTCAAACTCCTGTCCTCATGATCTGCCCACATTGGCCTCCCAGGCCTCCCAAAGTACCAGGATTACAGGTGTGAGCCACCTCACCTGGCCGCCTGTCTAATATTTTTCATTTTTGTAGTGATGGAGTCTCACTATGTTACCCAGGCTGGTCTCTTAACTTCTCAGCTCAAGTAATCCTCCAACCTCAGCCTCCCAAAGTGCTGGGATTACAGGCATGAGCCCCTGTGCCCAGACTTAACATTTACTTTTGCTCATAGGTCCTCAGGTTGGCTGAGTTTCTTCTGCTCTGGGCTGGACTGGGCTTGGCAGATGAGAGAGGGACTGATGAATGTGTGTGTAGCAAGCTCAGGGGTCCACTGGGGGTGGGGGCTATGCTTGGCTCCATGGGCCTCATCCTCTAGCAGGCTGGCCCTGGTTTGTGCTCACGGCTGAGGCAGGAGTCCAGGAGAGAAAGTGGACTCCATGAACAGTTTTACTTCTCCTGCACCCTGTTGACGAAAGCCAATCACAAGGTCAGCCCAGATTCTAGGAGTGGGGAAATAGACTCCACTTCTTGGTGGGGGAAGGTACAGAGTCACATTTCCAAGGGCATGGATGTGAAGAGGGTTGGGGTCATTTTTTTTTTTTTTTTTGAGACAGTTTCACTCTTGTCACCCAGGCTGGAGTGCAATAGTGTCATCTCAACTCTGCAACCTTCACCTCCCAGGTTCAAGCGATTCTCCTACCTCAGCCTCCTAAGTAGCTGGGACTACAGGTGCCCGATGCCACACCTGGCTATTTGTGTGTGTGTGTGTGTGTGTGTGTATTTTTGGTAGAGACGGGTTTCACCATGTTGGCTAGGCTGATCTTGAACTCCTGACCCCAGGTGATCCACCCGTCGTGCTCTCCCAGTGTTGGGATTACTGTACAGGTATGAGTCATCGCTCCTGGCCAGAGGCCTCTTTTTTTATTTTTATTTTTATTTTTTAAATCAGTCTAACACTGGAGCACCTTTCTGCTTTGGAAGTAAAACCATCCAGGCTGTTAGACACAGACACCTCTCTCTTGGCTTCCTTCAAATTACTGAAAACAAGCCCTGCCCCTCCCCCACCCAAACAACCAACCAAAGACTGGCCAGCTCATGCTGTAGTCCCAGAACTTTCTAGGCCAAGGTGGGAGGATTGCTTGAGCCTAGGAGGTCCAGGCTGCAGTGAGCTGTGATTGCACCACTGTGCTCCAGCCTAGGTGACTGAGAGCCTGTCCTCCCAAAAAATAAAAATGAAAAAAAGTGCTTGTCTGATGTGCTGTTGAAAAATAAAAGCAGATCCTTGGGGAATGGCCCTGCCCCTCACTCCAGGGCCGTATCTGCTGTGCTTGCTATCCGGGCTCTAGTTCTGCCGAGGCACCATCAGCTCTTTTAACAAGCCAGGCATTCCCCCTCGTGCCTCCAGCTAACTCCTCCTTTACCTGGGTAACTCCTTTGTCCTGCTATTTTTAATTTTAATTTTTTTTTTTTTTTTTGAGACAGTTTTGCTCTCGTTGCCCAGGCTGGAGTTCAGTGGCTCGATCTTGGCTCACCGCAACCTCCACCTCCCAGGTTCAAGTGATATTCCTGCCTCAGCCTCCTGAGTAGCTGGGATTATAGGCGTGTGCCACTGCACCTGGCTAATTTTGTATTTTTAGTAGAGCTGGGGTTTCTCCATGTTGGTCAGGCTGGTCTTGAACTCCTGACCTAGGTGATCCGCTCACTTCAGCCTCCCAGAGTGCTGGGATTACAGGCGCAAGCCACCTTGCCCAGCTTTTGTCTCTTTTTAAATTCTACAAACATTTATTGAGCACCTACTGTATGCCAGGTCTTATTCTGGGAGCTGGGGATACAGCAGTAAACAAGATAGGCAAGGCTCCATCCTTGAGGAGCTCACAGCTTGACATTCCTTCTCAAAGTGGTTAAGCCCCCAGGATGCTGCAGCCTCATGGGTTGAGTCTGAATCCCAGCTCTGCCACTTAACTAGCTGTGGGCAAATGTTTAGCGCCTAAACTCTCAGCTGGGCACAGTGGCTCACCCATGTAATCCCAGCACTTTGAGAGGCTGAGGCAAGTGGATCACTTGAGGCCAGGAGTTGGAGACCAGCCTGTCCAACATAGTGAAACCCCCGTCTCTATTGAAAATACAAACATTCGGCGGGCGTAGTGGCGGGTGCCTGTAATCTCAGCTACTTGGGAGGATGAGGCAGGAGAATCTCTTGAACCCGGAAGGCTGAGGTTGCAGTGAGCTGAGATGGGGCCACTGCACTCTAGCCTGGGCCACAGAGTGAGACTGTCTCAAAAGTACATTCTCCGTGGCTCACCATCATTCTCCAGATCTCAGTTGTCCCCTTTTCTAGGAAGCCCTCTCTGATTGCCGCAAGGTGACTGCACCTATTCTGGAATCCCACAGCTTTTGGGCTTCCTCATCCCGGCTCTGAACACTCTGGGTTGTAGCTCTTTGGTAATGGGTATGTGTCCCCCCACTGGACAGGGAGCGTGGTGAGGGCAGGGACCAGGGCTTTCCTGATGCCTGCTCTGTCCTCAAATTCACCCAGCAGAGAAGTGTGTACGCAGCAGGCACTCAGTACACATATACTGAAGACCCCAGTGTCACCGACAGCTGCGGGGAACTGGGGCAATCTGGGTGTTTCTCAGTCCAGCGTCGGCGGTTAAGGGGGCAGGAATTACTCGCCGAGGTCTGGAGGTCACCTGCCCTGCGAGGCTTGGAACCCGGGCGCTGGGTGGAACCCGGTGTAACAGAGCCCGCTGTGGTCGTGCTCCGTCTCAGAACCCGGTGCGGAAGACTCTCCGCCCAAGGAGGGAAGGCGGGCGGGACTCCCCCACCGGCGTGCCCGGGTCCCCCTGGGATCCATGAATAACCAGGCGCGGACCCCCGCCCCCTCCTCTGCCCGGACCTCAACGTCGGTCCGAGCTTCTACCCCGACCCGGACACCGACTCCAGTCCGGACTCCGACCGCGGTCCGGGCTCGGACCCCCATCCGGACCCTGATCCCGTCTCTGGCCGGGACTCCCGCTCTGGTCCCGACTCCCACTCCGGCCCGGATCTCCCGTCTGGTCCCGACTCCGGCTCCGGCCTGGACCTCCACCCCAGTCCCGACTCCTACTCCCGCCCGGACCCCAACTCCGATCCCAACTCTGGTTCGGACCCTGACTCCAGTCCGGCTTCCAGCCCCCGCCCGGATACCAGCCCCCACCCCGGCCCCGGCCCCGGTCCCAGCCCCGGCCCCGGCCCCGGTCCCAGCCCCCGCCCCGGCCCCGGCCCTGGCCCTGGCCCTACCCCCAGCTCCGGTCCTGGCCGGGATTCGGGCCACGCTCCCCGTCTTGGACTCCTACCCGGCCTCGGCCCTACCTTGGGATCCGCCCCCGGAACCTGCCCCGGAGCCGCGTGTGTCAGTGTCATCCGAGGAGGATCGTGAGCCGGCGCCGAGCCTGAAGCTCGTCCCGTCGGTCTCCGGCGAGACTGGGCCCGCCCTGGGGCCCCCTCCCGCGCGCACTCCACTGGCCACGAACCCACCCGGGCCCACGCTGGACTTCACGGCAGACTCGTCGGCCACTGGGCTGGCGGATCCCACCATTCCCAGCTCTGTCCCTGCGCCCATCCTGGGGACTATCCCGTCGGCCGCCTCCTTACTGAATTCTACCGAAAGCTTCGTCTCAGCCAGTGAGAGCTTCGCGCTGGACAAGAGGGTCCCTATTCGAGTGACCTACTGGTGAGGACCTCACACCCGCCTCTCCCAACCCCTGGGGATGGGGCCAGCGGTGGGGGCTGGGGCTCCGGGACGTGGAGGTTAGGGTTGGGATAGGGCGAGGGGAGGGATTCAGGTAGAGCCTCAGAGTCCCAGTTCCCAGATTGGGAACTCACTCTTGTCTCTCATTCTCTTTGGGGCCGGAGAGCATCAGGTTAAAATCCCTGCTTTGGATCTGAGCTTCATTCATTCATTCGTTTCTGAGTGCCCTGCGGCTTACCATCCCCAACTGCCAGGCTTGTGCTGGGGATGAGGTGCTCAGGAAAGCGACCTGCTTTGCTCCCCAGTAAAACAAACTCAAAGACAGTGCTCATGATGGGGGCTCTGGCTTCCCTTCCCAGCCTCTCTTCAACCCTGGAACCCTCTCTGGTCCTTTGTCTCTCTTTCTCTCTCACTTTGTCTTCTTCTGTCTCTGCCCGGGCGGTCAGTCTCTCCCATTCTCTGTCTCCCCACCTCACTCTGTCTCTCTGTGTCTGTTTTGTTTTTGTTTCAGATAGGATCTTGCTTTAGTGCCCAGGCTGGAGTGCAAGGACAGGGATCATGATGGGAGCCCCCATCATGAGCACTGTCTTTGGATTTGTCTTACTGGCCAGGCTCGGTGGCTCACGCCTGTAATCCCAGCACTTTGGGAGGCTGAGGTGGGCAGATCACCTGAGGTCGGGAGTTCAAGACCAGCCTGACCAACATGGAGAAACCCTGTCTCTACTAAAAATACAAAATTAGCTGAGTGTGGTGGCACATGCCTGTAATCCCAGGTATTCAGGAGGCTGAGACAGGAAAATCACTTGAACCCGGGAGGCAGAAGTTGCAGTTAGCCGAGATCATGCCATTGCACTCCAGCCTGGGCAAAAAGGGTGAAACTCTGTCTCAAAAAAACAAAAAGAAAAGGGGAAAAAAGTGATCTTGTATGTGAGGAGATGATCAGTACTGTGAACAAAAGGCATTTTGGGGGTTGCAGTTTTAGCTGGGGTGATCAGGAAGGCCTCACTGAGAAGGGGATATATGGGCAAAGCCCCCCAGAAGGAAAGAGAGGAGTCATGTGGATACTGCAGGGAGAGCATTCAGCTGAGGGAACCGCCAGTGCAAAGGCCCTTAGGCAGGGCATACCTGGGGTGTTGACAGATGAACTGGGGCTAGGACTGTAATCCCAGCACTTTGGGAGGCTGAGGTGGGTGGATCACTTGATGCCAAGAGAATTCAAGACCAGTCTGGCACATGGAGAAAACCTGTCTCTACTAAAAATACAAAAAATTAGCTGGGTGTGGTGGTGGGCACCTGTAATCCCAGCTACTTGGGAGGCTGAGGCAGGAGAATTGCTTGAACCTGGGAGTCGGAGGTTGCAGTGAGCCAAGATTGCACCACTGTACTCCAGCCCAGGTGATGGAGTGATACTTCATCTAAAAAAAAAAAAAAAATTAGCCCAGTGTCGTGGCCTGCACCGGTAATCCCAGCTACTGGGGAGGCTGAGGTGGGAGAATTGCTGGAAACCAGGAGGTGGAAGGTTGCCGTGAGCTGAGATCGCACCACAGCACTCCAGCCTGGGTGACAGAGTGAGACTCTGTCTCAGAAAAAAAAAAAGAGAAAAAAAGTTGAACTAGGGGTCTCTGGCTGGCACAGGGTGAATGAGTTGGGGGAGAGAAGGAGGAGAGGGGACAGAGGGGTGAGAAGGCAGATCCTGTGGTGGCTTGGAGGCCACAGGAAAGACTGGTTTTTCCCCTGTGTGAGATGGCACTACTTCAGGGTTATGAACAGGGGAGGAACATGGTCTAACTCAGGTGTTCATAGGGTGCCCTGAGCTGGGGACGACACTGACGCGGTATCTTCCCTGGTCTCTCTCTGCCTTTCTCCTCCTGCTCTTGGCCTCCAGTGGCCTCTGAAGCTATAGCCTTCGGGTGAGTAGTTTTGGCTTTGGAGGTATGGGAGCCTGAGGCATGAAGACTGGGAGAAGTCCCTGATTCTCCTCCCCTGCGACCCCATGACCCCGTCTTTGCCCCTCAGTACATTCTACTGAAAAAGAGCCTGGAGCAGCGATTTCCAGATCGCCTACTCTTTGTAAGTGTGTGGGGGTCCTGGGGAAGACAGGGGTGATCAGCGATCCGAGTCTTGGCCTCCCCCTACCCCCACCATTTCCTCCCAGGAGGAGGACAGAGCTGCCCAGGCTACAGGGGATTTTGAAGTGTTTGTAGATGGGAGACTGGTCCATTCCAAGAAGGTGATTCTGGGTAAGGGGCCAGGACAGGGAGGCGGGGTGGTGCTGAGGTCCTGGGGGTGAAAGACCTGTGTGCTTTCTCCTCTTTTTGCCCAGAGGGGTGATGGCTTTGTGGATGAGGCCAAGCTGCAGAAAATTGTGAGCATTATTGATGAGGAGATCAAGAAGAGGTAGCCAGCAAGGGGTGGAGCTGGAGGTGAGCTGTGGAGTTCTCAAGGCTGCAGTGAGACGGGTGGGGGCCGGGTGGGAGGATGGGGCAGGGCAGTGTCTGTCCTGTTCCTAGCTCAGCCAGTCCTCACTGTTAGAATCATGACAAGTCACCTGCACACTTTTCTGAGCCTCAGTTTTCTCATCTGTAAGATGGGCTTATTGTGATGATTCTGAGACAACTTATACCAGGTAATAAATAGTACATGGCTCAGAGCAGGGCTCAGGATATTCCAATGGCACGTTTACTTTTTTTTTTTTTTTTAAGAGTCATGGTCTCACTCTGTTGCCCAGGCTGGAGTACGATGGCTCCATCATAGCTCACTGCAGCCTCGACCTCCTGGGCTCAAGAGATTCTCCTGCCTTAGCCTCTTGAGTAGCTGGGACTATAGGTACATGCCAACATGCCTGGTTAAGTTTTAATTTTTTTTTTTTTTTTTTTTTTTTTAGAAACAGGGTCTTGCTATGTTGCCCAGGCTGGAGTGCAATGGCTCAATCATAGCTCACTGCAACCTTGAACTCCTGGGTTCAAGTGATCCTTCCCTCTCTGCCCCCCAAAATGTTGGGATTGCAGGTATAAGCCAGTTCCAGCCCATTTTTTGTTGCAAAGAGCTTCTTTTTTTCTTTTTTGAGACTGAGTCTCACTCTATCACCCAGGCTGGAGTGTAGTGATGTGATTTTGGTTTACTGCAACCTCCGCCTCCCAGGTTCAAGCGATTCTCCTGCCTCAGTGTCCCGAGTAGCTGGGATTGCAGGCGCCCACCATCATACCCAGCTAATTTTTGTATTTTTAGTAGAGGCAGAGTTTGACTGGGTTGGCCAGGCTGGCCTTGAACTGCTGACCTCAAGTTACCCGCCCACCCGGCCAAAGTGCTGGGATTACAGGCGTGAGCACCTAGCTCTGCTCTTTATCTTTTTAGCCTTTTAGTTGTAAAGCTGCGCTGTCCAGTAATAGCAGGTACCTTGTAAATTTGAAGTTTAATTGATTAAAATTAAGTACATTAAAAATCCAATTCCCGCCTGGGCACAGTGGCTCACGCCTGGATCCCAGCACTTTGGGAGGCTGAGGTGGGAAGATCATGAGGTCAGGAACTTGAGGCCAGCCTGACCAACATGGTAAAACCCCGTCTTTACTGAAAATACAAAAATTAGCTGGGCGTGGTGGCACGTGCCTGTAATCCCAGCTACTCAGGAGGCTGAGGCAAGAGAATCGCTTGAACCCGGGAGGTGGAGGTTGCACTGAGCCGAGATTGCCCCACTGCACTCCAGCCTGGATGACAGAGCTAGACTCTGTCTCAAAAAGAAAAAACAATGCAATTTCTTACTTGCTCTAGCTGCACTTTTGAGTGCTCAGTGGCTACCACATTGGATTGGTTTATACTGTATTTAGTGGCAGATGCCAAACACAGGGCACAAGAGGACAAAAAGTTCTGTTGGTGACATTGTGCTTAGGTATTAAAGTACATGCACAATTTATTTACACCTGGTACTGGACTTTTTCTTTTTTTTTCTTTGAGACAGAGTCTGTCACCCAGGCTGGAGTGCAGTGGTACAATCTCAGCTCACTGCAACCTCTGCCTCCCAGATTCAGCCGATGCTCCTAACTCAGCCTCCCAAGTAGCTGGGATTACAGGCACACGCCATCACGCCCGGCTAATTTTTGTATTTTTAGTAGAGATGGGGTTTCAACATCTTGGCCAGGCTGGTCTTAACTCCTGACCTCTTGATCCACCTGCCTTGGCCTCCCAAAGTGCTGGGATTACAGGCTTGAGCCACTGCGCCCGGCCAGCAAGTTTGTTTTCTAGCAGCCAAGCTGGAGTGAAGGGAAGAGGGAGACAGGGGTGAGGTCTGTTTCTCACACTTGCCAATATGCGGAATATGGTAGTGGTTATGCATATAGTTTCCAGGGCCACAGAGACTGAGGTTCAAATCCTGGATGCACCAGCCACACAGCCTAAGCAGGGTGAAGTTGATGTGAGGTAAGAGCTTTCCAAAGACCTTTTTCAGTAAGTAACAGCTGTTGTTACTAGAATCAGTACGGTTCTGATTGTAAAAGAAAATCCTGCTCAAACTGGCTTTAGACATAAAAATATGGACACATGGGAAAGTCTAGGGCATAATCTGGTTGGTTTCAGGCATGGCTGGATCCAGGCACCAAAAGGGTGGCTTTGGGAATCTCACTCTTCCTTTGGTTTCTGCTTTTTTCCTGGGCTGGCTTTATTCTCAGTCCTGGTAGCATAAATCCTGCAGAAGGTTCTCATTGGCCTAGGTTAGGTCACATGTCCATCCCTGAGCCAGTCACTGGGGCCCAAAGATTGTGGTGCTCTCATTGGCCAGTCTTGAGTCATGTGCCCATTCTTGTGGCTTACTCAACACATATTTGCTGAGTACCTACAATGTGCTGATACTGTTCTAGGCCTTGAGGCTACAGCAGTGAACAAAACAAATACAAACCCCCGCCCCAGTGAAACGGATGTTCTATTCTGTGAGACAGACAATGAACAGGACAGTTAGGTGAATAGAAGGCATTTGGCCTGGTGTGGTGGCTCACACTTGTAATCCCAGCACTTTAGAGTTCGAGACCAGCTAAAAATACAAAAATTAGCTGGGCATGGTGGTGGGCGCCTGTAATCCCAGCTACTCCGGAGGCTGAAGCAGGAGAATCGCTTGAACCCGGGAGGCGGAGGTTGTGGTGAGCCAAGATCATGCCACTGCACTCCAGCCTGGGTGACAGAGCAAGACTCCATCTCAAAAAAAAAAAAAGAAGGCATTTTAGGAGGTGATACCTGCTAAGGAGAAAAATCGATAGGTGTGGGGAGTCCTGAGAGTTTTTTTTGCAACTCTAAACTGAGTGTACAGAGAAGACCTCATTGACAAGGTGATATTTGAATACTTGAAATAAGTGAGGGATTGAACCATATGGATATTCTGGGGAAAAGTATTCCCGATGGTGGGAATAGCAAGTGCAAAGACCCTGGGGTAGGACTATGTTCAGTGAGTTTGAAAAATAGCAAGGAGGCAGGGCACCGTGGCTCACACCTGCAATCCTAGCACTTTGGGTGGCTGAAATGGCAGATCGCTTGAGTCCAGGAGTTTGAGACCAGCCAGGCCAACATATCCAGACTCTGTGTCTACGAAATAATAATAATAAAAAAATTAGTGAGGCACAGTGGCTCATGCCTGTAATCCCAGCACTTTGAAAGCTTGAGTTAGGTGGATCGCTTGAGCCCAGAAGTTAGAGACTGCCATGAGCTCTGACTGGGCCACTGCACTCCAGCTTGGGTGACAGAGCAAGACTCTGTCTCTAAAAGAAAAAAAAATAATGAGGAAGCTAGAGTGGCATTGTAGTCCATAGGAAACAGTAGAACAGTGCCTGAGGCATGGTAAACCCTATATAAACACTGCTATTTTTATGGAGCTGTTATTGTTATTTTACATGTTTTTCTCTCTTCTCTCCCATCTCAGGAACCTCAGCAGGATGATGATAAGGACTGAAATGTTGCTAAGTCAGGTCCTTTTCTGATGGTGGCTGGGGCTGGGGTGAGCCCAGGGAAGGGGAAGAGGAGAATACATACAGAGTCTGCCACCCTGTGTCCGGTCTGTGTCTGCCGTCGCCACACTCACCTCTGAGGTCTGTGGAAGTCACCTGCTGCACTGCTCCCAGCATCTCCCATATTCTGGCCCCAGGGGCGGGAGGGATGGGGAGCTTGCAATATGAGGCTAGTCCTGTGGCTCCAGCCCTCCGTCTGCCTCAGCTCCTCTTGCTGCTAGGCTAGTTTGTTTCTTTTGTGGCTTTGTCATTTCCCATGCCCTGGTTCCAGATACATTTTGAAAACTTTCATCTTATTGGCATTTTCTGGGGTTGTGAGGGAAACAGGGATGGTGGTTAGTCTGAAACCCTTGACACTCCAAACTCATTTGTGCTCCAGTACCCACTTTCTAAACCTGTAAGATCTATGTTCCAGCCTGGGCAACCTAGTGAGACCCCAACTCTACAACAAATAAAAAATTAGCCAGGTGTGGTGGTGTGTGCCTGTGGTCCCAGCTACTTGGGAGGCTGAGGCAGGAGGATGGCTTGAGCCTGGGAGGCTGCAGTGAGCCATGATCATGCCATTGCTCTGTGGCCTGGGCAACAGAATGAGACCCTGTTTCAGAAAAAAGAAAAAATTTAACCCATAGGTTTTAGAATCCCAGTGTGGGCGTGTCTCTGTGACCTGGGGCTGGGGGAGAGACATTTTCACATTGAGTGGACATTTATGGGCACTCTACTCTGCACCTGGCATGGTGGGGTCAGTGGTCACATGCCAGGAGGTCAAGGGCACAAGAACAGGACTCAGACTTTACCACTTAATTTCTGTGTGACCACAAACAAGGGATGCCACCTCTCAGCCTCAATTTCCTCCTCCATAAAATTGACATCATAGCACTATTCAACTCGTGGAATTTTTGTAATAATTATGCCTGGGAAGGGATTAGCAGAAGGCTTATCGCAGAATTAGTAGGTTTCAGTTAGTAGTAGATTTTAGTTAGAAAACACAAATTCTTTTTTTTTTTTTTTTTTTTAGATGGAGTCTGGCTCTGTCACCCAGGTTGGTGTGCAATCTTGGCTCACTGCAACCTCCGCTTCCCGGGTTCAAGTGATACACCTGCTTCAGCCTCTTGAGTAGCTGAGATTATAGGCACGTGCCACCACACCCAGCTTATTTTTATATTTTTAATAGAGATGGGGTTTCACCTTGTTGGACAGGCTGGTCTCAAATGCCTAAGTTCAAGTGATCTGCTCACCTAAGCCTTTTAAAGTGCTGGGATTACAGGCGTGAGCCACCTCGCTGGGTCTGATCTTCTTAACACCTCACAGGATAATATGCTGGCCCTGTACAATGACATGCTGGTAAGAGTCTGTGAGCAGGGTGCCTGATAAGACCGAGTGCTGGAGGGTAGGGGTAAGTCCCAGAACATATATGGGGTTTGTCTCAGTGAAATCTGTGTCAAGTGGTATAAAATATGAGAGGATATTTCCTATGTGACATATACTTTCCACCCCCTACAGTTAAGAAAAACACTTAGCAGAGATTTGCTTTTTTTTTTTTGAGACAGTCTGACTCTTGCCCAGGCTGGAGTGCAATGGCACAATCTCAGCTCACTGCAATCTCTGCCTCCTGGGTTCAAGCGATTCTCCTGCCTCAGCCTCCTGAGTAGTTGGGATTACAGGTGCGAGCCACTATGCCTGGTTAATTTTTTTTGTATCTTTAGTAGAGATGGGGTTTTACCGTGTCAGGCCAGGCTGGTCTCGAATTCCTGACCTTGTGATCTGCCTGCCTCCGCCTCCCAAAGTGCTGGGATTATAGGCATGAGCCACCGTGCCCGACCTAAAATATTTAAAAAATATTTTTAACAACTGGGCCGGGTGCGGTGGCTCATGCCTGTAATCCCAGCACTTTGGGAGGCCGAGGCAGGTGGATCACAAGGTCAAGAGATCAAGACCATCCTGGTCAACATGGTGAAACCCTGTCTCTACTAAAAATACAAAAAATCAGCTGGGCATGGTGGCACGTGCCTGTAATCCCAGCTACTCAGGAGGC